ATTCTCCTAGTAATAACTCCTTACGTCAGGAGCTTCGTTAAACTGGCCGTTTTCCTCCAGTATTTTTGCAAAGTCCAGATGCATGCATATCTGCCTACGGTCCCGTAACACCACGCCGTAGCGCAGGTAGGACGTACGGTCCCCTAGCGCCTAACACTATGGGGGCGTACGGTCCCCTAGCGCCAAGCGCTATTGGGGCGTACGGTCCCCTAACATCAGCCTATTTCTAATCACAATAATAATATAGTTTTTTCAATTCATACACACAACAAATTCAAAGACCACATAGAAAGACCAAATTACACCTAACAAATCCAAATATACAAATGACGTCATAAAAAGTCGAATAAAACAATAGCAAATTCAAATGCCACATACCAAGTTCAAATGTAAATGATAAATGCTTGAACTAGAGTAAAAGGAGTCTAAGTGGGTGGTTGGCGAGTGCTCTGGTGTGGTTTGCTCCTTCTTTCCAATCTAACACCTATCATCCTGATCTCTCCTCCTTTTTTTGTGTCTTTTACTCTCTTGTAACACCTCTAATCTTCGGCACTTATATGACCTGGTTATGTTGCAAGTGCGTAAAACTTTTACTAAAACTAAAAAAAGAGGCTAAAAGTATAAGGAGTATTTCAAGGTAAGAAGTAAAAGGGTTTGGGTTTTTTGGCCTCGAAAAGGTTCGACGTAAGCCGTGTGGTGCCACAAGGAAGAAATCACGTGAAACGAAAGAAACAGTAAATTATGTTTAAAACCGAAAATAAACTCACATGTTTAACAGAAACGAATGGTTATGATAAAAATCAACGCTCTGCTGGTATATTATTATCGAACTAACTGAGTGAAATCTAAAGCCGAGTTTACTTTTATTTACTTATTGTTGCACTACAAAATGCTATGGCTTAGGCTTGCATTGAACTGAAGGTTGCTGCCATTTTCACTATAGTCACAGCTTGTTTTTTGTTCCATCATCGGGGCAAGTGTGAACATCTTTTATTGATGAGTCAGCTGAGTGAGCATCTGGTCTTTTGCTTCCCCGAGCCACGGTTTGAAATCGTATTTCCAAATTCACAAGCGTTCTCGTAGATGTTAAGACTAGGTAAGTAGGGGGATAGATATTTCTTCCTCAATCTATTGATGAGTAGCCATTTAAAGCCTGCCTTTGTGCATGAGCATTGTTACATACCAAGCATACTTCGTTGTGGGGGTTGTTGGAAGAGTTTCTTAGAGGGATGGCCTGAAACGAAAGCTGCCATTCCCTCTACTTGAAAGTCGTGAAAGACCAGGCCACCCTCGTCACTGACAGCAAATTAGGCCCCTATGGCATCGTATGGTTTGGTCCCCTTCGACCCTGCATTACTTTAACAAAGCATTTACCACTCCATGCTCTTCATTTGTTTCTATTCGTCAACTTCTTGCTAACAGCTTCCTCAAAAAAGGCGAATTCATACCGCTAAATGTTCTGCTTTAGCCATGATGCTTATTGATGTCAAGCTGCTTCAGTTCTATCTGAATTTCTTTCCGCGGGAGCATCCTCGAGATTTTTTTATCGTAATCAATTCACCCTAAAAAAGTATACTGCTTATGGTTGTCGTCAACTCAGTTTGAGCACATTAAAATGTTTTTCACGTTGAATAATCTTTGTAGATGATATTTGCTTTTGCTATGTGGCATTAGAACTTGCTATTGTGATACATTTGGATTTGCTATTTGTCCATTTGAATTTGTTACGCACAATTGTGCACTAAAATTTCCTATTGTACATGGTGTGAAACTTTCTATGTGGCATTTGAACTTGCTATGTGGCATTTGTATTTCTTATGTGTACATTTGATCTGAAAAAAAAACTATATAACAATCATCATCCAGAGCTAGATCTGCGCAAACATCGACGACCATGGTTCTCCTTTCAGTCCTTTGCTGGGATGCTCTTAAAAAGGCTACGTTTCTCTGATCTTTCCTCGTTACCCATTTGTTTAGGTTCCCTAAGTAGATTGCTCAGGGCCTACCCTTGCCTTGTTTGCCTTCAATTCTTTCAGTGAGAGCTAGATGTTTAAGACCTTTATTATGTCTATTCATGCATAAGCCGTTTCCTGATTGTTTTTAACAGTGAGCGTCCCACGTGGGCTTCATCAAGTACTACCCAAGGACTACTATACTATATAGTATAGTAGTCCCTGGTAATACCTTATTTGATTTCTTTTCCTTCCACGAAATTCTCTGCAATCTCCTAAGGTACGACATTTCTGTTGCTTCTATATTATTTTCACTGTCTTTAGTGATTGTCCAGCATTCACAGCCATATAGAAGGGTTGACCATACATAGCATTTCAGAAGTTTCATTTTGGTCGTCATTGAGATGTTTCTGTTTTTCAGGATTGGGTTCATTGGGATCATGACAATAATAATTAAAATAGTTAAAAGGCTGCGCCTAATATATCAGACATATTATGTGCTTTTTGGTGCTATAGTTTGCAGAAAAACGGAAGTCAATCGTGCTCATGAGATTCCGATAAAATAAAGTCTGGTGTAAGAGACAGCCGAAACGACAGACTCGGTGACACGGCTCATGGTATACTGTGCCTTCTACTTCTGCCATCTATTCCAGTCTGATCAATACTGACCAGGTGACTCTCCAACAAGTTAAAATAATATACGATTCTAAAGTAAGAGATTTGTGAGTGGTTGGCGGGTGCTCTGGTGTGGTTTGCTCCTTCTTTCCTATCAAAGATCTATTATTCTTATCTCACTCTTTTTTTTAAAGTTACTTTCTTGTAACACCTCTAATCTTCGGCAGTTAGGTCACGTTATTGTGTTGCAAGTTACGCAAAACATTTACTAAAACAAAGTAAGAGATTTGATTTCATCAGCTTTTCTTATTGTTGTCAACAACAAGCACCGACAAGGGTGGAAAGGGGAGTGGGAGGGAGTGGTGGACTGTGGACGGCGGGAGTAGGAGAGGTTTGGAAAAGAAGGAGGGAAGGATTGGGGTCTAACCTTCCTCTTTAAAACATGTAGAGTGACAATTGTAACAGATTCAGCAATTGGATTATGCGTTTGTTTGATTAAAAAAATTTTTTTTTGGGGGGGGGTTGTTTCTTTGTTTGTTTGCTTGTTTAAGAGTTAGCAATTAAATAAAGATGGGTTGCAAAACTATTGTGTCGGTCTCTACAAAACTCTCAATGTGTGCGGGTTTTTTAATGGTTTTTTTGTGTCAGAATAATTGTACAGCATTTGCAACAAAAGTAGGTTACATTATAATAGAATTACTAATAAGTGCCGAACTCATTGATTGTGTGTCTCTGGTGTTTGTGCTGAGAGAGACGGTACTTGACACAATGGTGATAAAGGCGCTATTGATTAAAACAAACGTCATATCGTGCACTTACGAGATTCATTGTAGACACATATGGCCGTGAATATAACTATACGTCCAAAAATAACGTATCTCAGGGTTATTATGGAAGATGCTCTATCAGATTTGCTTGTTTGGGTGTTTGCTTGTTTGTTTGTTTGTTTGTTTGTTTGTTTTGGTTTTTATTTGTTTGTTTGTTTGTTTGTAACGTCTACTGCCATTGTTAACGACCAATGCAAATTTCTCCTTGCGAGAGGAATAAAGACTGTCATTGTCATTGTCATTGTCGTTGATCTGTTTGGGGTGGGGGGTAGCGGGCTATTGTTTTTTCTAGCAGACAATGACAGTAAGAGTAAAATTACATTAAGAAATATAGTTATTATGGAGGGTGCTTGGCGGGTGCTCTGGTGTGGTTTGCGTCTTCTTCCCTACAAAACATAATAATCGTCCTTATCCCTCCTCCTTCTTAGTTCTGTTTGTTACTCTCTTGTATCACCTCCAATCTTCTTTAGTGATTCTTAAGGTGCTAGTGACGTACTCTTTCACCAAATTTAAACTGCGTAGAAATTATGGAATTCTGAGGATCCAATCTTACTTCTCGGCTCAATCCATATAGTCTGATTATAACACTGTCATCTGGAAAATTGACGATTTTGTCACTAGCTAAAAGAAACTATAGAAGCTATAAGAGGCTGGTTGACTGGGGATCGTTGTATGAAAAACTTTAACTCAAGAAATGTACTACGGTTTGGCTTTACATATTAATATGATTCACTTCAAAATATTGTCATCAGTATCCTACTCTTTTCTTCTTCTT